AAAAAAAAAAAAAAAAAAAAAAAAAAAAAAAAAAAAATTCCTTAGATTTTTTTAATTTAAATAATTTTGGTATTCGTAGATATTATTAGGGTCAGAAGGGACTTCAGCAGATCATTGAGTCCAACCCCCTGCCCCAGGCAGGAAAAAGCAGTGGGGTCAGATGACCCCAGCCAGGTGCTTGTCCAGTCTCCTTTTAAAGACCCCCAAGGTAGGGGAGTAGACCACCTCCTTTGGAAGACCATTCTAAATTCTGACAACTTTTACCGTAAAGAAGTTCTTCCTGACGTCTAACCTGAATCTGCTCTCTGTCAGTTTGTGGCTGTTATTTCTAGTTACTCCAAGGGGTGCCCTGGTAAACAGAGCATCTCCTATTCCTTGCTGTCCCCTGCCCCTCCCCAGTGAGTTTGTAGGTGGCCACAAGAGCACGTCTCAGCCTTCTCTTGCAGAGGCTGAAGAGATTCAGGTCCCTCAATCTCTCCTCATAGGGCCTTACCTGCAGGCCCCTAACCGTATGAGTGGCCCTCCTCTGAACCTCTCAAGGTTATCCACATCCCTCTTGAAGTGTGGCACGCAAAACTGGATGAAGTATTCCAACTGTGGTCTGACCAATGCTGCATAGAGGAAAAGTATCACCTCCCTGGACCTGTTTGTGATGCACCTGCTAATGCATGATAAAGTGTGGTTAGATTTACTGATCGCTTTGTCACGTTGACGACTCATGTTTGTCTTGGAGTCAACTATGACTCCGAGATCCCTTTCTGCTACAGTGCTGCTGAGAGGGTAATCCCGCACCCTGTAAGTGTGTTGGTGATTCCTTCTCTATAGGTGCAGCACTTGGCATTTGTCCTTGTTGAACTGCATCCTGTTCAGTTTTGCCCACTTCCCTAACCTGTCCAGATCCTCCTGGATTCGTTCCCTGCCCAATAGTGTGTTTACTTTAACCCATAATTTGGTGTCATCCGAGAGTTTAGACAGAGTGCTCTCCATTCCCTCATTCAAGTCACTGATGAAGACATTGAACAGCACTGGCCCAAGGACCGAACCTTGGGGAACTCCACTGCCCACACTTTCCAAGTCAATGCCAACCCATCCACCACCACTCTCTGGGTACATCCCATTAGCCAATTTGCCACCCACTTGACCATGTAATCATTTACGTCACAGCTACTAAGTTTATTTATGAGTATAGGATGAGATATCATTGAGCCTTGGTATAAGTTTTCAACATTTAAAATTTAATTTTAGATATTTTTAATTGAAAAAATCCCATTTCCCCTGAAAATAATCTATTTACGTCTCCCTGTTTTAAAGATACCTGTGAAATTTGAGTGCAGATTGTTATGGCTTTCTCTGTGCGTTCCCTTTTGTGATCTTATTTTTCTGAATTGGAATACCTTTTCTTATTGAAGGCTAAACAATTGGCTCTATGTAGTCCTCATACTGCAGGCATGCAGCTACATACATCTGTAGCATGGCTTTTTTATCACTTGCTCTAAATGAGTTTTGATCCACTAGAAATTTTGGAAGGAGAATTGTAATTTTAATAAGGGGGGTGGAATGATGTTCTCCCAAAGATACTGTATCATAGAATCATAGAAGTAGGGTTGGAAGGGACCTTGTAGATCTTCAAGTCCGACCCCCGCCTGGGTGGGAGAGAAAAACTGGACTCAAATGAGTCCAGCCAGGTAGGCACCAAGCCTCTTCTTAAAGATCCCCATGGTAGGAGCCAGCACCACTTCCCTTGGAAGTTGGTTCCAGCTCCTAGCCGCCCTAACTGTGAAGTAGTTCTTGCGGATGTCCAATCTAAACCTACTCTCCAATAATTTGTGTGCATTGTTCCTTGTCATGCCAGGGGGCACCATGTCTCCCCCCAAACCCTTCTGGTTCCCCCTAGTGAGTTTATAGACAGTCACCAGGTCCCTCCTCAGCCTTCTCTTGTGAAGGCTGAACAGGTTTAGGTCCCGCAGTCTTTCAAGGTAGGGTCTGCCCTGTTGTCCCTGGATCATGCAGGTGGCCCTCCTCTGGACCTTTTCAACGTTGTCCACATCCCTCCTGAAATGAGGCACACAGAACTGGATGCAGTACTCCAGCTGTGGCCTGACCAGCGTCGCATAGAGGGGGAGGATCACCTCCCTGGCTGTACTTGAGATGCACCTGTGGATGCACGTCAAGGTCCGTTAGCCCTGCCAACCATGACCTCGCATTGTC